GAAAGGCATTCTGAGAAAACTGATACTTCCAAGATCATAGATCCCAGATGTCCTTTAAGAACTACATAGCAGCTCTACAGGAGGCCACTTGGGAATAATGAAGACTTTGCAAGAGTTCGAGAGAAATTTTACTGCAGTAATGCAAAAAATGACTTGCAAAAATGGTGCTAATCTTGCAATGCCAGTGCAGGTCGGAAATGCCCGAAGAAACGCAGCCGAGGAAAGCTAGAACGTTACAATATAGTAGCGCTTTTTGAACGCATCGCCTTTGACATCCTAGAACCTCTGTCACGAACTGCTGCTGGAAACAAATACATCATCATTGTCATTAATTACTTTACCGAATGGCCTAAAGCGTATTCTGTTCCTGATCAGGAAGCTGTTACTGTAGCAGAAGTAATGATACAGCATTGGATTTCCAGGTTCGGAGTGCCACTTCAGTTACATTCCGATCAAAGAAGAAATTTTGCACTGGCTGCAATTAAAGAAATCTGCAAAACTTACTCGACATAGACAAAACCCAAACGACGCCTTTACATCTCTAATCTGACGGCAATATAGAAAGGTTTAATTGAACCGGCCTTAATAACCTCTCTTTGGTGGTTTCCCCAAACCAACAGGACTAGGACAAGAAATTACCTCTGTTTCTATTGGTCTATTACAGTGTTGTCCACGAGTGATGATTATTTCCCATCCCAGATGATTTTCGGTCGTGACCTTCGCCTGCCTTGTGATCTCTTGTTTGAACGTCCTCCGGATGCGCCTTCATCGCCCGAGGAATACATCCAAGTTCCCCAGGAATGATTTGAAGTGATGCATAGTTTTGCACAAGAGCGAGTCATCTTGGTGAAGGAAAAGATGAAGGCCCGATACAACATCCCAGCTACAGGACATCGAATACAATTGTTGACAAGATGTGATTGTGGAATCCGAATCGACAGAAAGTATTCTCTCTTAAACTACATTCGTCTTGGGATGGTTTTTACACAATCCTAAACAGGTTGAACGACATCGTAGTCCGCATCCGCAAGTCATCGAATTATAAGCGTAAAGTCGTACATTACAACAGGGTAGCCACTTTCTATGGTCATAGTACCTAATATCCATACTGCAGCGGTTCTCAACTTTTTGACTTACACGTACCATCTAAACAAAAACTTAAAACCTTTAGTACCACTACACTTTTCAATATGTATTTTTCAATTTCTGACAAGAAATATCGAAAAAAAAAAGTATTCAGATTTTATATTAAGCCCAAAGGGGCCCTTTTTTAACGTTTTGTGTGTTATCTTTTTTTATTAAATATCATGCTCTTTGCACTTCATAAAATTCAATTCAACAGGAATATCACAAAATATTTAAAACAGCATATCTTTAGAATTTCCGATGCACAGTCTCGCGCGATGAAAATGTTCCCTCCCCTATAGTGTTGCCATTGCTCGCTTTGAAATCGTTGAGTTTGTTAATAAAAAATTCGTTAAAGTGTTACAAAATATGAAATCGATAATAAAATAAATTCCAAATTGCAAATTAGGGCTTTCCAGGTGCCCATATTCTGTGGAGGATTACGTTATTCAAAATTCGATGGCTCTAGGTACCTTTGTTTTATCCTAATGCGAGAAACACACATGCACTTATAAAGATTCTTCATTATTTAAATTCTTCAAATATACTACAGGGCGATAATATTTGGTGGCAATGATTTGTAAAGTGAAATGGACATTTAAATTTTCAACCTAAAATGCCAAATGAAGTAAATAGCCCTTCTAGCCTAGAAGGGCTGTTTACTTCAGTATTTTATTTGTTTATGCTATTTACTGAAATTATTATTTAAGTATTATATTTGCCTTAGTTGTAAGTATGTGTCCGAGCAGTACTGCTCGGGACATGCAATCCTTTGGAAGGGAACAGTGTTACGAATTTGTACATAAATACACGATTTTAGGGGAATTATGTGTGAAATTTTGTATTTTTCTGTGTAATGTAAAGCGAAAACAGTTTAAGGAGACAAGTTACGTCGGAAAAGTAAAAATACAGGGGCAAGTCAATTTAACATTGAGTAAATAGGTATCTCGGTAATTTGGCGAGATATCGCCAAGCTGGCAACGGGTTTGGCGACTTATTTTTTTTCGCTAAATTTGGCGAGAAATTGCCTAAAGCCGCCAAACTTGGCGATCCTTTGGCGACACCTTTGACCGTTTCCTGTATCACCGTAATAGGGATCGTAATTGAATAAATGTAATTGATCATTATATAGTGATCAATTATATATAATGATATTACTGGTAAGGTATAATTATAGTGATATTATATAATATCACTATCATTATAGTTGTTGAGAAACGCCTATAGAGGGCACAGTACCCCGCCTGGCTCTTCAATGTAGAATTGCTTAATGAGTAAGAATGCTTGTAAGGGAGTTGCCGGCCCTAATAATTAACGGCACAATTACTACTAAACTTTATTTCAGTAATCATGTAAATAAATTTCTTTGTTGTTGTGTTCCAAACTGAGCCTTTCATCCCTTATTACGTACAAACTGAACCACCAAGATAGTTACAAATTTTGGATTAGTAAAAATTCTATATGGTGCATCAGCCAGGAAGGAATTCCGCGACTATAGGCCATTACATTTTGGATTACCAAATCATGCTCAGGAGGAAATAAAAAGGTAGGCTCTCATTTTGTATTTATTTTTTATCCTTTGATGTATTTATGTTGTACTGTATTAGGAAAATGGCAGCGTTAGAACTAGAAAAAGCTAAAAGAACAACAGTTCGAAAATTAACAACCCAGTTAATTAATCAAATTGATGCTAAATTAAAGTCAGGAGAGGAGCTTGATGAGCAAGATTTAAGAGACGATTACGAGCTCTTAATAGAAAGAAGTAACGAACTGAAAGCTCTTGACAGTGAAATCGAAACTTCCATTGCAGTTGATCAAATGGAAAAAGAGGTTACGGTGAGTCAAGAATATAAAGTGAAATGCTTGAAATACTCAAGTAGAATATTACGTTACCTTGAAAGCAAAACTAAGATTGAGTCAGCTTCAAGTGATCCGCATAATCAAAGTACGAATGTCTCTTAAATGAAAATTTAAGAAATCAATGTTCAGTTAAATTGCCAAAGTTAGTAATTGAAAAATTTTCCGGAGATCCGAAACGTTGGCAAAGTTTTTGGAATAGTTTCGAAAGTATGATTGATAAAAACGAAAGCATTTCTAAAGTTGAAAAATTCGCGTATCTTAAAAGCTTTTTGACTGGTCAAGCTGCCAATGTTGTTTCAGGATTCGAATTATCTAACGATAATTTTGACAACTGCGTAAAAATTCTGAAAGATAGGTTCGGGAAAAGAGATATCATTATAAATTCCTTTATGAATAAAATACTAAATTTGGAAGAAGTAAAAAATTCTTCTAATGTTTCAGCGTTACGCAGAATTTATGATGAGCTTGAGATCTCTATTCGAAATTTAGAAGCAATAAATGTTACATCAGGCTCTTTCGGCCATTTGTTAATGCCTATTTTGCAAAAGATCTTACCTCACGATCTAATTTTAGAGTTTAACAGGAAAAGAGATGAAGGTGACGTTGACATTTCTAAATTCATTTTATTCTTAAAGAAGGAGGTCGAATGTCGCGAAAGTACTTTATTGGCTTGCGGTGAAAATAAAACGTTTACTAATTATTATAATCAGAAGACTATAAATAAAAGACACAACAGAAATACACCCACGGCTAGTGCATTTAACACTACAGTACAACGAGTATGCATCTTCTGTGAGAAACATCACGATTCTTTTAAATGCTGTAAAGGGGTTACTGAGAAAATAAATATTCTCAAGGCGCATAATCGATGTTTAAATGTTTTAAGAAATTTCATTTGAGTCGTTTTTGTAGAGATAAAAATATATGTATTAAATGTAATGGCAAAAATCATCATGAATCTATCTGTTTGAAAGGTAATGAGGAATCAAATTCATGTAATTTATCTGAAAATGAATCAATTGCCACAAGTTCGAAAAAGGAACCTTTAGTTTTAAATGTTAATACTAACACTTTGGTTTCTCTTTGTAATATTTTTGTTTCAAAAAATACTTTACTACAAACATGTACTGGTTTAGCTTGCAACGAAAACGAAACTAAAATTGTTCGTATCCTTCTTGATCAAGGTAGCGAAAGATCGTTTATTAAAGATACCTTAGCGAGATCTTTAAAATTAGAGCCTATTCGAAATGAAAAATTGTCTGTTTTTTCGTTTGGAACTAAGAAACCAATAGTTAAGAATTATCCTGTGGTCGTAATTGAATTAAGAGATAGAAATCAAAAGAATATAATAAAATTAGAACGCCTAGTGACTAACACGATATCAGCTTGTCCCATAAAAAGTCCCAGACATAACACACTCGAAAAAATGAAGCGCTTAGGTTTACATTCAGCAGATTTAAGTGTAAAAACAACAATGAAGAATTACAACATGTGGGAATATTAATTGGCGGCGACAGATTCTGGGATGTAGTACTTACAAGTCGGAAACGCATAAATAAACACATCCAAGCTATAAATTCCATTTCTGGATGGCTATTAGTGGGAAATGAAAAAAATAAAGAAAAGGAAGGCAATGATTCGAAGCCCTTAACAGTAATGGTAGGGAATACCTCAGTTGTCAGATGATTTAAGCATGTTTTGGCAACTCAATTTAATGGGAATAATCAAATGAAGGGCAAAATGAATTTAATCAAACTGATAACGATCTAATCAGCCGTTTTGAAAGAGATATAAGGTTTAAAAACAGGCGATACGAATGTAAATTATTGTGGAAATCTACTACGGAAGAATAAGGAAATAATTTTGATATCGCAAAAAAGCGGTTTGAATTTTTAAAGCAAAAATTACAGAAAACTCCAGAAATATTGCAAAAATATAGGGGAATTATTGAAGAGCAGTTAAGGGAAAATATAGTCGAAAAATGCCCTGATGAAATTAAACTTTCACAGTATTATATGCCGCACCGTGCTGTAATTCGCGATTCTGAGACTACTAGTGTCCGTGTAGTTTTCGATGCTTCTTCGAAGACCGGAAACTTCAAATCCTTAAACGAATGTCTAGAAACCGATCCAAATTTGAATCCGAATGTTCTTGACGTGATCCTGAGGTTTCGTGAACTTGAAATAGCATTTTGTGGGGACATAGAAAAGGCATTTTTAGTGATTAGCATTGCAAAAGAAGATAGGGATTACTTGAGATTTCTTTGGTTTGGGAATGATGAGAAATCATGTTATATTATGCGCATGTGTCGGTTTCCTTTCGGAACAGCGGTTAGTCCCTTTCTGTTGGCTGCTACAATAAAATATCACATCAAAGGGTATAAAGAGGACCATCCCGAGAGTTTTAAAATGCTTAATTCTTCTATTTACGTTGATGACTTATTTTATGGAAGTAAAACTGTAGAAGATGCATACCGATTGTCTGTAGATGCTGTAAATATTTTTCGCGATGCAGGTATGAATTTGAGAAAACTGAAATCGAATTCAGATGAATTAAATACATTACGGATGAAGTCAAATATTAAAGGGAAAGATGATTTCAATAAAGAAACAAAATTTTTTAGCATGATTTGGAATCCTAGTAACGATGTAATAAAATTAAACATGAAACCAGTTCAGGAGTGAATTGAAAATGGTGAAGGCGACACAAAAAGACTGATATTGAAAACTGTCGCCAAAATATTTGACACTATCGGATATTTGCAAGCATTTATAGTTCGGGTTAAGATCATTTTACAAGACATTTGTCTTCTGGGTTTAGAATGGGATGCTGCGTTTCCCACAGATATCAAGAAAAGGTGGTTGAACTGGTGTGCAGAAATGAAATGTTTAAAAACTCCTGAATTCCCTAGAAAGTTCTTTCATAAAATTAATTACACGCAGCTGAGCGTTCATATATTTTGTGATGCGACACCTAGAGCTTTTGGAGCAGTGGCATATTTTAGATACACTGATGAAAATAAGGAAATTAAAACCAATTTCATAATGGCAAAGAGTAGAATAGCTCCCCTCAAATCTTTAACTCTCCAGATGTGAGCTAATGGGAGCTGTTGTAGCTGCTTGCTTAACTAAGTATTTAAAACACGTTTTACATATGTTAAGCAACAATATTATCTTTTGGAGTGACTCCCAAATAACGCTACATTAGATAAGGAAATCACCAAATGTCTGGAAGCCATTCGTTGGCAACCGTGTAGCAGAAATCCAGGCAATTTGCAACGCTAACCAGTGGTACCATTGCAGTAGCAAAGAAAATCCTGCAGGTCTATTGTCTCGAGGGGAACGAGCAGAGACCATCATCTCCAGTCCATTGTGGTAAAATGGTACAAGTTGGCTTCTCCAGCCTGAAAATTTGTTGCCTAAAAGACCGAAAATGGAGGCAAATGAGAAAGAGATATCCGTAGAAAAGAGAAAGACTCATAATGTCCTACAAACTGCCATCAACTACAAGAACAGAGAGTAAAGTTCTTATTCATTGCTTGATTTAAATCAGTTTAGTAAATTAAACAATGTATACCGAATAGCAGCGTGGATATATAGGTTCATCAACAATTCTAGCTCTAGATCTGAAAGACTATGGACCATTAACCGCTCCTGAAATAATGAATGCAGAAAAATGCTGAATTAAAAATACCCAATTTCAATATTTCGAAGAGGAAATCCTCGATTTATCTCAAGGAAAGTAAGTTGACAAAGGGTCCAATATTTACTTGGTTAAAAGGCAGAATATAATTTGCAGACTGTCTGGAATCTGCCAAGCATCCATGGATACTTCGTCAAAGTGTCGATATGCCGTTTTGTTAATTTTCATTGCACATGAAAAAGGGTATTTCTTTCTGGAGTGGACTCGACTCTGACGCACCTGCGCGAAAAATTTTGGGTTGGCAAAGACAGACAGCGAATTAAATCCTTGTTGACAGATGCATGATTTGCAAAAGATACAGTGTTCGCCCTGGAGTTCAAGACGTAGCTCCACATCCTCCAGATCGAATTCTTCAGTTGTCACCATTCGCTGTAACTGGATTGGATTATGCTGGACCATTTTTCTCTAACGAGAGCAACAATAAACATTACCTTTTAGTGTTCACTTGTGCACTAACGCGTGCTATTCATTTAGAACTGATAACTTCGATGAGTACGGAAGTGCCTTCTTTATTAGGCCTTTAGAAGATTTACAGCGCTGACGAGGACTTGTGCTTCAATTATATAGTGACAACACAAAATCATTTAAGCATGCAGACACGGAACTAAAAAAACTATGGAACTATATTTCTGATCCTTCCGTAGAGAAATTCTCACAATATTCATTGGAAATATATAATTAAAAGTGGAGCATGGTGGGAAGGATTTGGAAAAAGAATTATCAGAATGATCAAAACAAGTCTTAGGAAAATTGTTGGCCGTTCATCGCTCTCTCTCAATGAACTGGAAACAGTTCATTGAACTGGAAACTTCATGAACTGGAAACAGTTCATTGAGATTCAAGCCATGATCAATTCCAGGCCCATTACTTACTTATATAGTGAACCCTCAGAACCCTCTCCACAGCAGAATATTTAAAATAATTTTTTGGAAATGCTGGCGAAAGGGTTACTTTATTAAATTTAAGATCTGCTAATATGTGTCCAGCAAAAATTCAAAGGCAACTGAATTCAAACCAAATGACATAGTGTTAATCTCTGAAGAATGCTACCCACTAAGAAATATGTGGTCTCTAAGGTAGAATTATAGAGACTTTCCCTGGAAGGGACGACAAAGTTCGCTCATGTTCGATCAAAACTGTCAATGGACTAATAAGAAGGCCAATTCAACTGATTTGCAATTTAGAGCTCAATGACCGAGTCTAAAATTTAAAAATTTACAGTATGATATTCATAAGAATGAAACTTTATTTTTGTTTTTCATTATTGTGTTCTTTTAATTGTTATGTGCTAATAGTATATTTATTCCTCTATTCTTTGGATTAATAGTTTATTCAAGAAAGCTTTGTATGGGAAACTTGTTTAGAAGATCACATGTAAAAATATGGTAATTACTTTATTGCAATGTGATTGATATAAATCCAAATTATGGAAATTGGTAAGTATTGTTATAAACTCTATGTTTAGAGTTCAGGTGGGGAGTGTTGAGAAACGCCTATAGAGGGCGCTGTACCTCGCCTGGCTCTTCAGTGTAGAATTGCTTAACTAAGGGAGTTGTCGGCCCTAATAATTAACGGCACAATTAATAGTAAACTTTATTTCAGTAATCATGTAAATAAATTTATTTGTTGTTGTGTTCAAAACTGAGCCTTTCATCCCTTATTACGTACAAACTGAACCACCAAGATAGTTACAATAGTGATACAGAGGCTGTTCACACATTTTTTAGACGATGTATATTGTATTCGAAAAACTAAATTACATAAAATTCTTGTGTTTTAAATGTTCTATTTGACATCCCTTATTCTGAATTATCTTTTGACACCGCATTTCCAGGATAATAATGCCTTTTGAAGTGGCAGAAGAGATATTCTATCCCATTCCTCCCAAAAGCAACAGTCATGTTAGGGTTTTGGGACAACGTTTGGATAATGCAGTTTTTAAAAGTCCGAAAGCACAAAACTCCATAGGTGACACATCGGGAGATCAGTGAAATCATAGGGATATCAGTGAAGGGTATGGCCTTGATACTAGTTTTTTGTTCCATTTCTTTTAGGAAATTTACAGTGGATTTTGATGTGTGACTGCTAGCTTTGTCCTGATGGAGTCTCACAGATTGATGGCACTGTGGGTAAAGCGATGGTATTTCATTCAGAAAAATTGGCGATAAAATATGTTCCTGATATATTTGGAGTTAATCTTGACATTTTTTTGCACTCTCCTTATTTTTAACTTACCATTATTAGAAAAACCAGAAACAATCATGAATCCCTTAGAAAAATTTTCTTTCGATTCTTTGAACCATGTACTTAAATTTTTTCTCCCCTTTTATGATAATAAATGGCTCTTTTTTTCTTACAATCATTTAAATACACCCATGCTTCATCTATTGTGACAATTGTTTTCCATTTTTCTTTGGATAAGTGTTTCTCATATAGAATTCTGCAGCGTGGCCTGCGTTGAGCGATATGCTTTGGAAGAAGACGATGCACATTGCGTTTTTCGCTTTCTTAAGATTTAAATCAACGTTTTATCATTTTGTTTACAGTGGACACCGACCATTTTAATGATTTTGCAACTGTCCTTTGACTAGGGGGATTTTCTTTTAACATTAAAGGGGTAAAAGGAGTAGGAGCTGAAGTCGCTAAAAAGCAGGTCGACGCCGACTCCAATTTTTGTTGGACAGTTTGAATTTGACATGAAATTAAAATGAATTGAAAAAAATTAATGACAAGCTGAGTTATTATTTTTATTTATGGATTATATGCATTAATAAATAGTTATTTTCTTTTATTGACATATTAAAATTTATATAAGGGAGGAGGATGGATGTGATATTTGCCATTAGTGATTAAACTGATTCATTTAGTTACAAATCTCACTGGTAAATTTAGGTAAGCAGCAAGAACTCCCAAAATTGCTGCCATTCTTACGAAACGAACAGGAAAAAGAGCAATTATTGATCACGCAACGCGATAAGGATGTACATATTTGATGATAAAGAAGTTGTTAGAATTCGGAACGTTTTTAGAAGATGTAGGTAACCCTAATGTTTCACTAACAAAAAGACTGTGGACTGATCTTGCAGAATTGGAAACTCTTCTTTCTACATCGTATATAGCCACAAAAAAGCTGCAATCTGAAGAATTCACAGGAGGCGAGAATGGAAGAATGGGATGTTTGTTTTTTTTCTGAAATGGAGGGTTTATTGCAGAAGGAATCATTTCTTCAATGAAGAAAAGAGAAACTAGTTTGCAAGACAATGAGAACTTGCTGGGTTTAATATATGTAGATCCGAAACACCGAATTTTCTTGGATGACGAACAAATTAAAAACGCTAAGAAAGCCATGTATGAACTTTCACTAAGAATCAAATTATTCTCAGAACAATTGGAAAAATTGAATCAGGACAATCAAACTGCAGACATTGAAATTGAGTCCCTATCATACTGTTCCAGTGATGAATTAGATTTTGAGAAATATTTTTGGATAATATTGAAAAGACTAAGGCAAAGCGAATGAAAATAAAGAACCAAGAGCCTTTATATATAAAAATGAAAAAATACAAACAAGATTTCTATACGGCCTTTGAAAAACTAGAGAAATATTAATATGCTTGCAAGATACCTCTTTTAGAACTTATAAAAATATACCCTGAACAGTTAAAAGAAGTAAGCCCTAACGGTAACAGCTCTTCCTCCAACTCAGGTTAGTGTAGAAAGACTCTAATCAGCTCTGAAATTTATCAAATCGGATCTATGGCCCTCCAACAAAGATCTTGCCGAAGCTATACTGTTTCTTAGAAACACCGTTTGCTTTCAAGGCTATCAATACCCTTAGAAATCGGTCGAAAACATTTTCAGGAAAAACCTGTTGTATAAGAGGAGAATAACAACACTCCTATTAAAATGCATCTGCTTGCGAGAATCGAACCCAGATGTAATTAAGAATTTTCAGTAACGTTTTTATTCAGCTATCGGTTGCTAGGTTTGTAATTAAATAACTTGAACAAAAATGCACAAGAAAGATTAATTTTAATATGTTACACATTTAATTTTACTCAAGCCTGTCACAGTTGTGAACTGAAATTCAGATGGCTGAGAAAATGGATATCCACGAATCAAATTTGCAGAAATGAAAATAAAGAGGAAAGTCGAGGTTTCTTTTTTGTTTGTTTACAGTGATTTGTGACCAAGTAGGAAGGGGCCCTCAGACCCCCCCCCCACATAAGCCTAACAGTTTTAGTTATGCTACTGCATTCTAATATATCACTAAAAAAATTCAAATGCAGAAAATTACAAATGAAAATCGTGCGAAAATGTTCACGATCCTCACAATCAAGACACAAATTATCTAAATTCTGAAACTGTGCAAGGGAGGAGGACCTGAATCTGAGAACTTCAGATTACACTCTAACATGTCAAAGAGTTTATAATTAAACTTTAAAAAATTCAAAAATATAAAAGTATTTAAGAGTAAAAGGAAACTGCAATCTGATCTGTGTATACAAATTTAAGCTGAACACTTGAAATACAGGGTGGTTATAATCAGGGCTTAATTTCTAAAAGTGCCGGAGCCCTATGAAAGATCGTCAGGAAGGAAATGGAAGAAAATGGTAAAATAATAAATAAATAAAATGACTATTAAATAAAAATTTAAAAATTAAATAGTTAACGATAATAAAATTAATTAATAATTATTTAATTGATATAAGAATTAATTAATTATTAATTATAATTTAATTGACAATTATTCTGTAATCATTAATAATTAATTAATATTATTTATTTTAAATAATTAAACTTTTATAAAATGTAAAGAGCTAAATTAAAATTTAATAAGCGATTTTTAATATAACTTTACTGCTAAAAAAATTTTCGAGATCAATTTTCTACTGAAATTGTTGTTCAGTTACATAAACGAAGTTATGTAACTATTAACTTCTTATTTATTACTCCTGTAAGCTCCGGCTAAAATTAGAATTTATCCCCAAAACTAAGTAGTACTGGAGCCGGGTTCCGGTGGGCTTCGACGCAATTTAAGTTCTGGTTATAATTAAAGTGACCCCATTCAGACCCCAGTAGTACCCGTTCTGCCTATCGGATTTTGATGAAACTTGGTATATACGTTATATGGACTATGCGGAAATGATTTTTTGTATAAAAAAAATAGTTCAAATTTTGACCACCAGATAGCAATTTTCAAAAATTTCTTATGCAAATTAGTCAAACCTGTAAAGAGACTTGCAGCCAGAGCCAGAAAATCATTCTGCGTGCCTTTGTCATCGTTAATCATGCCCTTACAGAAGAAAGATCCAGCTTTACTGGCAAAACTATTTTATCAGTTCTCTGTCTTCATGCAAGATTGAGCAACTCCCCACATTCAGCGCCAAGTCAAAGAACTGCTTCGTGCTAACTTTGGAGAGAATCGTGTAATATCCAGATCTTTTCCGTATTTCTGGCCTCCTAGTTCAGCCGACTTAAATCCCTGTGATTTCTGGTTGTGGGGATTCCTAAAAGACCGTGTTTATGGAAGAGGAATTATGACTTTACCTGAGCTGAAAGCCAGCATTACGCGACATCTTGCTGAAATCCCTCGAGAGTTACTTCGCGGTACCATTGATGCACTTTCAACACATAATTGATGTCAATGGAACACATTCTGTAACTGAATAAATTTTAATGATTCTGACAGATTTTTTGTCCTTCTTCAGGAGCCACAGTTCCTCCTGGTAGTCAAAATTTGAATTATTTTTATTGCAGAAATCGTTTCCTCATAGTCCATATAACATATATACAAAACTTCATCAAAATTAAATAGGTAGAACGGGTTCTAGATTGGTCTTTAATTATAACCACCCTGTACCTATATGCAGTTATGTGGGACATAGTAATTTAAGAATTTATTCTCCAGAAATTAAAGACACGAAGCATAAAATTCTGCATTAAAATTTGCCTTCCAAGAGTAGGGACAAAAAATTGCTAAAATATTACTTCATTATAAATTAATGCCATTTGAAGACATGTAACCTTATTTAATAAAGGAAAGATTTAATTTTCAAGATGTAGGTACGCTTGTATTTCATGAGATGGCTTGCATCAAATATTTCCTTCAAGTGATAATACTTCCTATTTTTATTTTGCAAGACGCGAAATCCGTGCAACTGGAAACAATAAATACCTTTAAGAGATTCTTCAAGGTATTTAATAAGCAAAAAGAACCTAAAACCAAAATTGTGAGTACATGGTAAGAACTTTTGACTGCTATACTACTAGTATTGGCACAAGTAGTAATAAAAGAGAGAAAACGAAATTGATTCGATATTTTCCTTTTAAAAAATTCTGAAGTGATTGAAAAAAGGATAATCAAGAAACATGGAATTCAAGTAATGTCAAGTCTTTCCTCGAGATTCTCTTAGTAATTTTTCAGACAAAGAATTATCAAACTTTTCATATTTTAAAAATTTACTTTAACTGATAAGAAAAGAATGAAAATCGTTAAGAAAGACCTAACATTGAGGGAAAAAATTTGGTGCATAACTATAGTGACTGAAAATTTTCATTCAATTATTACAGGAGGAGGTCAATTACTGTCAGTTACTCGCTTACTCGTCAGTAATCGAGTAGCTGATTGATTGCTGATTAATGGGAGTTTGACCTGGGTTTGATTCCAGGCAAACAGGCCTACTGCATAATTAGTTGGGTTTCCCTATGTGGAGCAAGAATATGGTAGTTGCAAAATTTCATTCACTGCTGATGGACTTAATAATTGCGACCATTTATACCATAATGAATATGGAAAATCTAAAAAATAGTTTCAGACTTTGCCTGCTGTAAGTAGTTGCAAAATTTCATTCACTGCTGATGGACTTAATAACTGCGGCCATTTATACCATAATGAATATGGAAAATCTAAAAGGAGTTTGCAGTCTTATGAGAATTGGATTAACTTGTCGTCTAGGTTTAAATTAGCATAAATAATTGATTTACGCTAATTTAACGATTTAACAAACAGAAACGATGCTGTCTTAACGATTTAACAAACAGAAACGATGCTTTCTTAACGATTTAACAAACAGAAAGCAGAATCTTTAACTGACAGCGTTCAAGTCTTAACAGAACCAATTTTTGTCTACTAGTCGAACATCTAATAAATTTTGTATTCACAACTAAAGTAAATTTTTAAAATATGAAAAGTTTGATAATTCTTTGTCTGAAAAATTACTAAGAGAATCTCGAGGAAAGACTTGACATTACTTTAAGAGAAACACCGAATTTAGATGCTAAAGCCCCTATAGTGGAAGGAAGATTTCCCAGTCCTCCCACTGGTACTTCTTGGAGTTCCAATGTTGAATTCTTAAGTTCTTTGAGAATTTTTACTGATCAAGCTGATGCTGATCAAGTTCAATCTTCTTACAGTTACACTGTTATTTTAAAGTCACCATTATTTTAGAATTCTTGCAATATTCCTGTAAGTTGAGTATTATTGCAAGAAAAGGCAAAAGAAGTTTTGGAAAGTATGGGACTACAAAAGTTCAAAGATCAATCAAATGGTTGGTTAGAAAAATTTAAGCAAAGACATGAAATTACTTAAATTACTTTTAAAATTATTTGTCGTAAAGAAAAAAACAGTAGAAAAGCAACATGTAATAGCGACTGGATGAAAAGGCTAAATGAAATTTGTGAAGAATATGAGGCTAAAAACCTATGCAGATGAACTGGATTACTTTATCGAAATTTGCCGAATGCTGAAAATGGATTATTTTACCGAATTTGGCATTTGTTCTTCAAAGGAGAAGAGTATTCTGGTGGTAAAAGCTACAAGGAACATCTCACTATGCTACTTGTTGTAATACGGAAGGAGAAATTGAGCAAACACGTGGAATTGGAAAGGCCAAAAAGCAAAGATGTTTCAAATACATCAATCTAAATACTTTATCGGTCCGGTGGCATCAGAATAAAAAGTCATGAATGACACAAAGCATAATATGAGAATGGTTGATTGCTCTTGATACAAGAATGTCTAGAAAAATAAGAAGATTCTGCTACTTCTTGATAACTTGATAGTTCACTTATCAAATGTAGAAATGAAATCAGTATTAAGGCCTTTGGATCAAGGTATGAAATTTCAAGGTTAATTACAGGAAACTGCTTTTACAGCATGTTTATAATCAAAATGCTTGCGGAAACAGCAATACAATTTTGTTTTAACATTAAAGATCTTACTTTTGCAACATTCTGTTTTTTCTTGAATACATATTTAGAACAATTTTTCCACTTGAAGCTAAATTTTGATGTTTTTTCTCTTTGTTGTTGACACTATTACCTATCATAGCTTTAGATATCGAGAAATCATGGCTTTCATAATGTTTTTTAATAACTAGATATGAATAATTTTTTTTGGAAAGAACACAAACATAACCTTCAATCCATTGCTCCTTTAAAAGAGACATTTTGCATGAAAACAAAACTGTCAAGTAAAAGAAAATAATTTATACTTTCAAAAGTATAGTTGCAGTTAAAAAAAAAATCCAAGCAGAAGTTTCTTTTTTGTGTGTGTGTGTGTGTATCTGTGTTTTTTAACAGCAAAGTAAAATCGTCTAAAAAATGTGCAAACAACCTCTGTAACTAGCTTCTTAACAGCAATGGAATGCAAATTAAAATCCTCAGAATTTGGCATAGTAATTCTTACATATGTCATTTCTCTGAGACATTTCTGTTGTTTCTTAATATGTTAGTCCTCTAATAAAGTGCTTTTATTTTTAGACATATGTGAACATCATGTTATGATTTCATAGCTTTACACTAGAAAACACTTTTTTTCCTTTCTTTTTTGCATTTGCGTGAGAGTGATATGTGTAACATAACAAGACAAATTTTCTAGTCTCACAGGATATTTTCATCTTTATCAAAATAATACTCTATAAAACTGAACAAGCAAGCAACAGCAAGTTTAAATGAAAATTTATTTAAGAACAATAACACATAATCTGTTATGATAATTTTTGACTTATAATTACAGCTGCATTTTCTAAAAATAACAATCAATTTCAACAAAAGATTTCAAAACAAGCATGAAATTTTAAAAAAGTTAGGAATGTATCATACACAAATTTACAGCTTATTTCGTTGATGAATAATAACAGGAAGATGATGATTTACTTGAAGGTCGTTTAATCCCAGTTTTCAGAGCTTCAAATATTTCCTTCAGATCCAAAGGTGGTCCTGTAGATATCAACATATATAAATACACAAAAGAATGGGAAAATTTTATAGACAGCAGACTAAATTTTTTTCTGATTGTCCCATATTATTGTTAATATGTTTTCCCACTAACTGGATTTTTATTCCCAGATATAGCAAACAGTGATAGCATGCGTGATACACTCAGAAACACTGTTAGTACATCTCCTGGAAATTATAATAAAACTATATCAGAACACTAACAACAGTAGTTTTTAAAGCTGTCAAACTTCTGCATTCTGTAATGTGGTCATTTTGCATTCATATATCTCGAACCAGTTGCTACTTTTTCAACTAATAAATCTTTAACATATAGTTTTAATTTAATGTTTTTATTATTAATATCAGGTACTCGTTTAGCAGTTCTCATCAGTCAGTCACTTTCATGAAGTGCTAGAGCAGAGAATATGATAAATCTCCAAATATGGCAGCTTTTTAAAACTAAGCAAGGAACCAGACCATAATATTCAGTCAATGGCTGACTTCTGGATATAAGACATCACGTTTATGATTGCAATGCCAGACTGTTTCTAACTCCGATGTGAATATTATTCATTGTTTAATAATAACTTAGCTAAAAACATAAAAAAATCTTTCACTTTGTTCAAAATGTCTTGAAAACATTTTATCTTCTACCACAGAGGTTAATTAATTATCATGGCAAAGCAAATCTAGGTTTATCTGCTGCAACGTATTTGTGTTGCTACGCTACCAACATAATTTCACTAAGAAATGTAAATTACTGTAGATGATTATCCACAAAGAATATCCACAGACGATGTGCGTGCTTAAAAAATATTTTTCAGTTATTCTGTAAGTTTTGACTAATAAAGTTGGTTATTCGTTCAAAAATGGTGAGAGTTCTTTAAAAATTCATTACACTGCTTATGAAGAGGGATGCCTTCACAAAAGGTTTTTTTAATGAGATTTGAACGCGGGTTGGACGACCAGTCTATTGCCACAGGAAATTTTATTTTGTCATTTTGTATTTTCTCAATGTTGCTCCATCTTTTGAATGAATTTGCAAGCTATGGCATCTATGAAATTGCATTTATGATTAAATTTTAAGTGCCCTGAATGGTCTGGAATTCACTTCTTTGAAAAATGTCACACAGCACCTTGATAACTTTTATGAAAAAAAACCTAATGACTTTTAAAAAAAAAAAAAAAAAATTCAACTCCAGAGAGATGACAAAAAGTCATGGAACAAAATTGTGCTTACATGATTCAATGAAATTTTCTTGTTTTTGTACTGCTTCATTTGAATTTATCACGCAGAAAGTGCAGATCTTCTTTCCAAATGACTCAATAATTCTATTAGCCCTACGAAGGTTTTGAAAGAGATAAGGTATTGTTTTCTAAAGCATCAGCAGATATGCCAGCAAAGCTTTTAAAAAGTGTGGAAAGTTTCTGTCAAAAGTGTTAAGCATTTTTTCTTTACCCCCCCCCCACACACCCCTCGGAGAATCATACAGATGAACTGATTAGTGTCGGCTGTAAAAGTATCGATCGTTCTCAGAACTTTGCTCTTTGGGAGTTTTCAAGAAGTAGAATGCTTCAAAAAAGATCTGACCTTGTAACAGTAATTCTTCACTTAATGTTATGGATTTTGTTATCAAATGAAAATTTCGAGGGAGACTTAAAATCAAGACTTTAAAAGAAAAAAAATATAAATGTTTAATTTTTTTTTTCCGTTCATAAACCTCCATTTTTATGTATGTATACATGTGTGTGCGAGTGTTTATATATATATTTAAATTTTATGGAAATCAATGTGCATACGGCCATAATATCAATTTTTTTTGTTTTGTTTTTAATACCCTTCATTTTAGTTATTGAATTTACCTCTTACATACAATTGCTTGCTAGGATAAAAGGAATATTTTCTCTCTAAAACAATATGATTTTCGATAGTTCCCAAGACAGTTTACTTTTTTTAATGAAGTAAAATATCTTGTTAAATTAGAAAATTTCTTATTCTATTTGCAAATTCGGGTATTTTTGATCCAGAGTTTATTTGAAGCTATGGATATAAATAATATTTCACAATTTACTTAATATAATGACAGAACTAATTAACTAAACATGAAGTAAAAAATTTGTTTTTTGGCTAATCATAATTACAGATACTTAAGTTTTTGTCATGGAATTTTCCGCTTTTGTGTATAGCCATAAGTAAGGAAAGCCGCAAGTTTATTAATTGTGCCAAATGATATTGTTTTCTTTAAAATCTAAGAAAATATCAGTATATTTTACTAAACCACTACTTATTTTTTTGGGGGGGGGGACTAAGAGCAAATTAAGAGGTGCTCTTAGAAATTCCTGTGTTGAAAAATTATAAGAGCATTAATGAAAAAAGACATCGAATTTTGACGGATTGATTCTTATGGTTTTATTAATCTCTTTACCTTTAATTCTTTCTCTTTTTATCTATATAGAAAGAATTAAACAGACACTAATGCTCATGATGCTTAATTATTTTTTTAATTTTATTTAATTTGACTATGGCAAAGCATTTGAAGGTTATCTGCTTAAGGGTAGGGATGTCTACGTGGAGGAATTGCTGAGGGAAACTGTCTCATATACACATTACACGTGGGGAAAACAAAGAAAATGCCTAAGTAGTTAGCTTGTTTGCCGAAACTCGAATCCTCAGCCGAATTATCAGTGTTCAGAGACTTTATTGCTCGTTCGCTGATGGACCAATGCTCTTGATGCATTTTGTGTGCAGTTGAAAAATTGAAAATATATATTTTTTTTCAAAATATTGTAGTTAAATAGTGGTAATGCATAGTTTTACTAAACATTTTCTATCAGTATTAGTTACCTAATACAGAAACAAAGTTTTATAAATATTTATAATTTAGTTTTCGATATAATGAATAAAGATTTCCCAGAATTCAATACATTCTTAAATTCGATTTTTCAGTATAATAATATGCAGTTATTTTTAAAGGGTGTAAATGGTGAAAGTTTTGAAATATGAAAAGAAAAAAATTATGTTTGCACTCAAAAAAATATAAATGATAACGAATTTTAAAATAAAATTTTGTAGAACTGATTATGATTAGATTCATCATCTTTCAGTTAGGTTTTTCTCAACAATATTTATGTGTAATATATACATGTTCAAAGTGCGAATATTAGAAATTATATAAAACATGCACTGAAGTAGAAGTAATCTTTGCAACAGAAATTCAACTAAGTTCAACGAATACCTGAGATAATATGATTGCAATCTATCTGAATATTTAAGAAAGTCTTGGCAACAGGTTTGTTTCCTATAGGCTCATATTTATTTATTTCTACTATGCACATGTGTGACTACTATTTTTTATACAGAGAATGTTTTTCCCTTCTAGGGTTAGCAACAAAAAAATTAAAGATTTTAATTTCCGTAAAACAAAATACAAAACAGATATTCTATGGCAAAACTGAAGTGTAAAAACCTTTTTATTCACCAAAATACACAATATATTTCCACTTCAACTAAAAGGAGCAAAATTAAGTTTTGCTCACATGGTTGGCTGGCTCAAATACATAAGCTTTAATATATATATACATAAGCTTTTTTATAAAATAAAAATATATACATAAGCTTTTTTTTCCTTCTTTTCTCTAAAAAACTAAAGTTCAACTAGAAACTTTTTTTTTTTTTTTTTTACACAAAACAAAACGTGCAATTTATTCATTTTCTATAAAAAATAGTTTATATTATTTGGACATTGCAGAACATAGGAGAGCTATTTATCACAAACATATCAGGCCTGCTATCGTAAAGGGCTTTCTAAGGGAAACTGACATTGCACAAAACACCTATGTTGCAGTCATCCATCCCATTCACCTGTGTTCGAACTTAAATCAAACTATCAGCAAATGTTTTATCATTCGGGTATTAGCAAGGTGCATCTAGACAAAACCAATTCAAAAACTTTATTCACATATAGTACTAAACTCGACACCTGCAATAAGATAATTCTAGTCTTATTATAATTCTTGTGCTCTGTAGTTAGCTAATTTTAATGCAATTAGCAGGTAATACTGATATCGGGAAAATTTAAATCTAAGTTGTACTTTCGAATTTTCTTTTGCATTGTTCTAAATTTTACAATGTGAGCCCAGTTATACGAACAGAAACAGATAATAGTTATATATGCCCAGGGCGTACTGACTTCCCTGGATAGCAGAAAAGAAGTCTTTTTTATCAAAGGTACCATATATAATACATGGAATGACAATGCACATTGCATTTCATTCTTATTGTTCCTTTAATTTTCTACGCATATCCTATTCTTTCTTCTAGTCGTTTTAGGTCACTGCTTCTTTTCAACATGCACCCTATTTGAAAATACTTGATCTGTTTTTAGAAATAGAGGCTAAATTTTTCTCAGTATCTTAGGAGAAAGACGTTTAACAGAATGTGAAAACGCATTTCTGTGAGTACAATGCTGTAGGAAAATCTCCTGCAAACTACTTCAATTTTATAATAAATATGTGCATAATATATACGAAATTTAAGAACGGTTTATAATTATATATATATATATATCTTTACAAATTCGTTTTATCAAAATCGTAGTTTTGTTTTTTAACCCAAAGGGTCATTAGGACAGATAGGCTACTAGTCTGAAAACGGCATTTTGTTTCACTATAAACAGCGAATCAACTTTTAAATTATTGCCACCAAATATTACCGTCCTGTATTATATTTAAAGAAGTTAAATAATTAGGAATCTTCATGAATATGTCTTGCATTATTAAAAAAACAGTACCTAGAGCCATCAAATTAAGAATAACATAATCCTCCACTCGAATATGCACACTGGAAACTTGACTTTTTAAGTTCAAATTGGTTTTATTATCTCTTTCATATTTTGTAAAACTTTGACGAATTTTTGATTAGGAAACTCAACAGTTTCAAAGCAAGCAGTGGTAACACTGTAAAAAATAAAACATTTTTATCTCCAGCGTGTGAGACTGTT